ATTTAATTCTAACACATGTGTTGTATGTGAAACACCAGTATCCAAAGAACCACAACAGCGACCAACTTCTCAAAATCAGGTTTCAAAAAAATTAATCAAATTTTAATGTTCCTATCTAGACAAGAATTCTATGTCCTCATTGTAAATCAACAAATTCAATACATTTACGAACATGTTATATTTGTGAAAATGTATTAATGCCAACATCAACACCACCAGTAGACAAAAAAGAAAAATCTTATTTATTTTTTTTCCGTATTTATATTTCAATAGGAAAAACGAACTTCAATTTCAATTCCAACAATATCAAAACAAACAAATACAATGATGATAACATGTTCAAAATGTTTTCGTTTAAATAATCCTAATGCTCGTTTTTGTGATTGGTGTAGTTCATATCCTGATCATGCATCTACATCAATACAATGTACAAAATGCCATACTAATAATGATTCATTTGCAAAATTTTGTTCAACATGTGGATGTGTTATTGTACCACCATTACGTATTATTGATACACGTCTTTAAAATGATTTGAATATTTCATCTTCATCAATGATTGCTAGTGTATATTAAAATTAAAGAATAAAAAAATAAAACAAAAAAAATAAAACGATTCTTATTTTCTATAGACATTAACACGTAATTCAGTTAATCCTGTATGGCTTAATGCAAATACAACATTAACTAATTATCATCAATCATATTCAACAATTAAAAAAGAAGTTGCAACACAAACATCGAATTTATTATCCAAGTGCAAAAGATATTGATTTAATTATAACACAAAATAAAAAATTATTAGCTGAAAAAGAATTGAAAGAATATCGTCCAATATTAACATCTACAAGTCCAGGAAAAGGATATTGGCGACAATAATTAGATCATATTTGTGCTCATTTAAAAACTTATGCAGTTAATCGACCAGATTTTCAATCATTGATTGGTAAAGATCTTTAATATTTAAAAAAAAACAAATACTTTTATTTTGTTATAATGAATAATAATTATTATTTAAAATATAAATTCTCTTTCTATATATATATATATCTTATATATTAATACTAAAAAAGTTTATATATTATTTAATTATTTTTTTTAGGTGAACCAAGTATGGGTAATATGATTCATGCAACTGTACATGAAAATGAATATCAAGTAACTATACAAACAGTATTTCGTAAACCAGAAAATCTTTCACAATCACCATTTTTTATTAATGAAACAAATGAATATTATCCAATAAATAGTGAACGAAATTCACCATATTCAAATACAATTTATTTTGATAGTAGG